ATTCGTTGTGTATTTGCCCGGACGACCAAGTAATTTATGAGAACAGATGTGTTGCTTATCTTGGACAAGGTCATTCAAACATTGTTTTCTTGTAGCTTTTTTCCTGTATTTTGCAATCGAAATTGCCATGTCTATAAAGAGATCATCTGGGAGGGTGAAGTCGCAGATAACCGTTTGTGAAGTTGTACATATGCTTGAGCATCAGCCTGAAGAGATAATCGACCTCTCTAGCTGAATGGAACATTTTCTAAATATTGAATCTGAGGAAAACATCTATTTCAGCCCCCGCAGGTGGTTCTTGTGTGTTAGCAGGTACAGTATGTGAAGGAGGTTCAGCATGTCAGAATGGTATCTGTGAATGTGGACTTGGTTCAGTTGCACAAAACGGTCGCTGTGTCCCTGCAAATTCCTATCAGCCTACACCAATTCGTGAGTACTGTTCAGATTCCTTTCAAAAGTTCGTTTTCAGATTGAACCCTTTATGAAAAGATAACATTTAAGTGGAACCTGGTGCAGTATGTGTATCGTTGTGTGCGGTATGCGCGCAATGTGGTGGAGGATCGATATGTGTCAATGGTATTTGCAAATGTCCGATCGGATACTTTCCATTCCGATCTCGTTGCGTTCCATTTCAAACACAACCACCACCCGTAATTAGTCACCTCTTTGTTTTTCATTGAATTCATTTTTAATGCTAATTTCAATATTGCAAATAATGTTTTTACTGCTTGTACGAAGGTTGCCGTACTCCTTCTTTATAAAGGCATCTGAAACCTTGTTCTAGTAAGCATATGTCAACGAATTCCTCAACTTGTTGAAATTTCAGTAAAATTGTAATGTTTTCGTAGAAGCTGAGGTTGTGTTAACAATAATTCTTCATTACGTTCCAGACATCATCCACTCCTGTTTCGATCGTTGCTCACCCACCAATGGCCCATCCAGAAGTGAAATCATTCGTGCTCGGTAATGGCTAATAACCTCTTATTGATCGTATTGCATGAATCACTGCCTTTTTGTTTCTTCATCACGAAAGAGAGATTCACTTGAATGAGTTTTGAGAAGTCCATATGAACGATCAATTCAGTTTCTGACACGAAAACAACCTGTTTTATGCAAAAGCATTAGAAATTATTTTTGGAGCGATGAAATTAGATTCAAAGCGTGTTCGATCAGAGATACACGGTGTGTTCGCTAAGATAGCATTACTACGCCAAATGTCATTGCAGCTAGACCTGGTGATAAGTGTAACGCATCAGAAATATGTGATGGTGGATCATCATGCATTATCGGTCGTTGTGTATGTCCTCCTGGATATGTGCCTGAGTTAGTTTAACGATTCACCTCCTTAAATTAGAAATCGATGCAAACGTCTATTCACTTCGCTCAATTGCAACATTCGTCAAATGAATATTTTTCATGTGATCATTGATACCATCCATTTGATTGGTATCATTGGTACCTTCTCAGTTTCGTATTATCTATTGGTTAGTTGATATCATCGATGCGGTAGATCATGCAAGATATGATTTTTTTTTGGATTCTATGATAAAAACGAATTCTCGGATGATATCAATTATTACCACTCGCTATATGAAATGATGACATCCGCAGTGTGTTGAAAACTTCTAAAATCAATGAAGTGATGAAACCGTCGGTTATTCATGGCATTTTTAAATTGATACGGTCACAGAATTGGGTAAAGAACAACAGGGATCTTACACGGTTCTTGAACATTTTCAGTGACGGAAGGACGAGTTGTATCAACATTCTGTTGGAGCCGTTACCTCATGAAAGAGCATCTCATCCCGGTCAAAGCTGTTTGCAAACGAATAAGTGTGATGGTGGAGCAAAATGTGTTGATGGCATTTGTTTATGCCCGGTCAATTCCTATCAGTCTTACAATAAGTGCATTAAGGATGATCCATTCAAGCCCATTTGTACGTATTTTGAATGAATTTCACATAGTCTGTTCGCATTTATCAGTTTCCCAAAGCGGTTTATTTATTAGAATGAAACGGTACATCAGGGCTTGCCTTGCAATACGTTCTGTAACTTGAACATATTAATGTGTGCCGCGAGGAATGTACGTTGACAGTAAATCCCGCGAACATGCAACAATAGTGCATTATTGCCGAGTTGTATGATTTCAGTGTACCCTGGTTCACGATGCAACATCACCGATAAATGTCAGCTGAATTCGAAATGCTTAAACGGTTCTTGTGTATGCCCTGAGCAATTTGATACCAGTGTCAGTGGTTTCTGTACGAATGCTACATCAAAAACCATCAAGAAAGGTCAGCCGGATAGATTACGTGAGA